CCTGGTTACGGGCCTGTCTCCTGCCACCGATCCGCGACCTCCTTAAAATTATAAGGGGAGACTGGACAGGAGTAAAGTGCGACACTGCTTATTAAGGGGGCCAAAACTTACATTGCCCGATACTTGCGTGTTCTCTCTGCAGCTATTGTTTCTGCTTAATTTTAGGGAGGACAAACTCGTCCCCAGGGCTTTTCCATAGGGAAGAGTACGCGAAAGTACACTCACCTTCTCTTTTCATCTCAGCTCTTTTGCTCCTACTAAATTTCGCGCACGACTGTTTCTTTTATTATTTTTTTTTCTTTCATAGGTTGTTCACTAACAGTTTTCATTTACAGATGAGTGGTTTTATGTAGTTTCTAGAATGAATTGTTATTTCCTCGCAGTCAGGTCTTTATAAAGACTACGACATAAACGCAAAACATAAAAGTTTACAACTAGCTACTTACCCATCTTGAACCTACTTACCCCATCTAGTTTTTACCTTTCCTTACATGACTACTTTGGTTCAAAGGTTGTCATCGCTGGGGGTGGCTGCGAGTCATGATAATCTCCACTACATATAAAATGCTCCCACACGGCGTACGTAGTTATAGCCTCTGACAACCAAGACCAGCTCCTGGCCTGCTTGTACGGCTTAGTTTTTAATTTCTAAGCCCTTAAAACCTTTAAAGCCTTGAGGCCATATCCAGTCATTTAGAGGCTTCAGGAGTCAACCTCGAGGCTAAACCCGGAGCTGGAGTTCCGAAAGGCATAGCCTACGGCTGTATAAAGTCACGTCCTGGCAACTTCCGCGACGGCGCTGGAACCAACCGTATTGATTATTGCTTTTCGATTGGACCAATTCAGCGACGCGGAGAGTCCATCCTCCATATCTACTCTACCCAGGCTTTATGCACTGGAGTGGACACTAAAACTTCGCTGTGCAGCGTCGGCACAACGAGGGAAGCAGCAGTCTACTGCACGATTCACACAGAGCGTGACACCAGGGGTTGCTTCCGTAGACGGAATAGGTCATCTCATCTCATTGGCCAGCTACCACCAGCCTTAAGCTAGAAAGGTGTTGCCCCGCCATGGTCCGTCAACCTCACGAAGGGGCATAGGGGAAAAACCGACGAACAAATCGACAACTCTGCAATATGCAACAAACAGAAATCTCCTGCCCTTGAGCTGGGCACTTAGAACATCAGGGCATTGACACCAAGCTTTTTTGACGATCCACGCAATACAGCAATCATCATCTAAGCAGACTGCAAATGGACATTGTCGCTCTTGAAGAGACGAGGCTGCCAGATTCAGGATCTATCAAGGAAATAAATTTCACATTTTTCTGGCAGGTGAAATCACCAGATGAGACAAGTGAACAAGGATTGATTTTGCAGTCAGAAATACCTTGCTGGGATCCATTATCCCACCTGCAGATGGAAGCGAAAGAATTTTGTCACTACATCCGCATTCATCAGTGGGTCCGGTCACTCTAATCAGTGCCTATGCTCCACGTCTGTCATCCCCAGGAGAAGCAAAGGACAAATCCTATGACGAACTGGTCACCGCCATCAAGGCAATCCCTGAGAAAAAGCTGCTGTTCATTCTAGGCGAGCTAAACGCCAGAGTTGGTGAAGATCAAAGCCTCGCTTGCTTAGCTCATTTCGGTACTATCCTAGCCTGTGCCTGCTGGAGCTATGCTGTCATCACAGTCCATGCATCGGTAACACGTTATTCAATACCAGGACCGAACACTGAATTGGAGACACTCAAGATCTTAGCACTGGCACCAGTTTGACCTCATCCTCAGCAGATGCTCCGGTGTTTCAAGCATCAAGGTCAGGCGTAGTTTTCAGGGTGCTGATTGCGATACGGCCGGACTCTCCCTTAGTGTGCAGCAAAGTAAAACCGCGAACAAGGTAAGTGGATAGCAAAAAAGAAGAGGGAAGGCCTCGCATTGACAACAGCAGACTCCGTGAACAGACTAAAGTGGAGGGATTTGCAAGTGCACTTGAAGAATCTTTTCCAGGTCCGCCCGATGCTAACGCATGCGATAGATGGAAACATTTTTTTGATGCACATCTTCATTATAAATAAGTGTTATCTTTATGACGTTTGCGCTAAATAAAGTATCTATCTATCTAATGCTGTTCACTGCGCCACGTTGTCCATTTTGGGCGGGAAGACCAACAAGACTGCTGACCTGTTTGAGTCCCACTCCGAAGAGATGCCACCATTCATTGATGAAATGAGGAGGGCCTTCTCTAAGCCGCTCATAGCAAAGTCCAGCAGACCGCCAGGGGATGTGCAAACGACTACTGGTTTCAGCTCTGTTCTCAGATAAGGTCAGTAGCTGAGACAGATATTAGGGGGATGTATGATAGAGTTTCGCTCCCGTGTATGAAGGGGCTACTTTAGTTCCCGGACTAAAGAGCAAGAGTGGCGCAGTGGTGAGAGTTGTCGCCTCCCACCAATGTGGCCCAGGTTCGAATCCTGGCGTCGACGCCAAATGTAGGTTGAGTTTGTTGTTGGTTCTCTCCCTTGCTCCGAGAGGTTTTTCTCCGGGTACTCCGGTTTTCCTCTCTCCCTAAAAACCAACACTTCCAAATTCCAATTCGATCAGGAACTCTCGGAAACATTTCAACCAGTTCGCATGAACTCCTAAGCGTCTCTGGGTAAACAAATTATAATTACAATTACAATTTTACAAGGATAACCCTATTCTTCAAAGATTACTGAAGACCTGCTCTAAATTTCTGAAGATAAGGAGAACACTCGCGTACGTCTGTCGTTTCGTCCAAAGTGCTAGAGAGAAGAACGTCAAGACAGGGCCTATTACCCTTCAAGAATGGAGAGACTGTGAGAATCAACACTTCAAGTGGAGCCAAATTCACTTAGAATCCTCTGTCATTGACGAGAAGTTTATTTCAAGCCTGGACAATAACGGAATAATTCGAGTTCATTGACGGCTCGAAGCGGATGCCAGATGGTTGCCACAAGAAATGAGAAATCCTGCTATTCTACCAAGCGATCATCTACTTGTCCAGTTGCTACTACGTCATTTACACGGAAAGCGTGGACATTTTGATTACAAAAGCTTAATTCATGAAGGAAGACAGAAGAAATTAATGGATCACAGAAGTCCGCAGCATGTCTAAAGCTCTCACTGCAAAGTGTATCACGTGCAGAAATCTTCGCAAGAAACCACTGGACCAGCTAATGGGGCATATCCTATGTTTACGAGTGACAGCAGGGATTCTTCCCGTTTCCAACACCGCCATTGACATGTTTTGCCCTTGTATATCAAGCTCAATCGGGCAGCAAGGGAAGTTGATGGCTTTCCGTCGTTCCGTGAGCTTGCGTGGCCACTAGTTTGTTTGTTGGTCGGACCGTAGAACAATTTTACAGATGCGCAAAGTTACTTAAAAGAAGTTATGCAGAGCTGGAACATTCCCAAGATTCAGGGTGTTTTATACCTGAAATTTCCCCTTTAATTTCAAATGGTAACGGAATATAGCTCACGCAAGTCATCAAAATGGCGTCGTGGAAGCTCTCATCAAGTCCGTCATACATAGTCTCCTCTCTCTTAGGAAGTACACAAGATCGAGTAAACGAATTTTGGAAATGCTGGATGAGGAACTTCGCACCAAAAAAAATTATTACCAGGGAACAAGTGGTTCCGAACCAGAGAAAATGTTCAAGTTGATGAATATTGAATATTTAATTACCTTAGGGCCGACACCTTGACTTTGCGCGACGCGGGGAAAAAGGTCAGGTGACTGTTACTTAAAAGTAAGATATTCGTTCTGCAACTTACATTTTCAATTTGTCACTGATCACGCATCCAAGATACGAAGCTTACTAGCCATAGCCGCGTATGGAACACAAATTGTAAGTTAATATTTGTCAGTCATCGCTTCAACCGAAATTGATTTTTACGGTAGGCCGTTTTTGTAATATTAATTTAATTTAACTACTAGGACGACACATTCGGACGTCACGATTCGAATTTGTATTGTCAGGTGCAAAGAAATTCTAAGTGCGTAAAACTCTGTTAGTGGTTAATCTTCAACTACTAGTAGCCCCTTCACACACAGGAGCGAAACAGATGGTATTAAGCAGGTCCTAGGTCCGACGAAGAAGAAAACTGCCCCTCTGAAGTCCGCCACAGGCGGGCTCATGCAAGATCGGGCGAAGCAGTTGGAACGCTGGGTGCAGCACTACTCAGAGTTATACCCCAGAGAGAATGTAGTAACAGACGAAGCCCTAAACGCAATCAAGTGCCTTCCTGAGTTGGAGGAACTTTACAGTGATCCAACCTTTGGAAAGGCTCTCGACTCTCTTTCCTCTGGCAAAGCACCTGGAAAGGACCCCATCCCTGCCGAACTCCTGAAGTGCTGCAAAGGAAACATCATCGATCTCTGAGCTGCATGAGATCCTTTGTCTCTGCTTGGGAGGTGTCAATTACCATAGGACATGAGAGATGCAAACATCGTCACACTGTACAAGAATATGCAACACTACGGCTGCATTGTATGCAAAACTGAAACAGAGACGTTTGCATTACCTTTTTGGCCATAATGTGAGAATGGACGACAGCCAGATCCTAAAGGATCTCCTTTATAGCGAATTTGCTCAGGGAAAGCGCCCCACTGGCAGGTTCCAATTACGCTACAAAGACGTCTGCAAGGGGCACCCGAAAGCCTCAGGTATTGACATCAACGAACTGGAAACCTCGGCTTCAGAACGTTCAACGTGGAGGCAGGCAATCAAGCAAGCTCTTTCTGAGTTTAAAGAGACACTTTCAGAACAGGCTGAGACAATCAAAAAGGGACAAACGAGGAATGCCCTAAGTAAGACCAGCAACGAACTACATCTGCTCACTGCGCGGAAGGGACAGTCATTACCGAATTAGTCCTTCCAGCCACGCAAGGCGCTGTTCGAGAACCACCAATCACAGTACGACATCATAGTCCTTCGATACTATAGGATGCCAATACATATAACTACCCACTAACCCGCCCACCTACCTATTTGTATGTGTAATCAAATGGTGACGAGTGAAATTAGGGAATAATTTCACGCGCGTTTTGTCCAAATCCTAATAATTTCCCGAGCCTTTAGCTATTAATATCATGGGTGACGAATTACGTTAGCAATCTTGGATTTTTGACATGTTTATCCTGGATCGTATCGATGGAGAGCTCCGCTCTCTCAAATGTTTAGACCTTAAATTTGGCTTATAAAGTTCAGAATGTTTCAGACTTTTTCGGCAAAATACCTGTTAGAATCCTTCTTGATGTTCTCTTGTGTGTTCAGGTTTTCTAAAACGTCTTTTTGTGCCTTGACATCTTCATTCACGGCATTTTAAAACTTCGTCGCAATCTTGACACTGAGACGTACGGACGGTTGCCATGGCAATTTTGTAATTTCACATGTGAAATTGCAAATTAACGCTGAAATTTCGCGTCAAAATTAAGGCGTAATTCGTCACCTATGATATTAGCCTAGTAACCTACTGTTTCGTTCAGGACCCATGTTCGAGATCGTCCTGAGCCACCATGGGACTCATGTGTTAATTTACTTCCCTGTCTTAGAGATTTTGTTGCGCGAATATTGTATGTTGCCAGACCAAGTGCCTTTGTAGAGAATCCTCGTAGTCAAGGCTTGTAATTTGTTCGCAATTGGTTATTAAGCGGCTGGTCTTTGATTTGGAAAGGAACCTCAATCCACCTCAATACCCTGACTATTTACCTGCCTCCCTGCCTACTTATATGCGTACCTACCATCCTACCTACATTGTACCTGCATGTCTATCTTTATTCATTTGCAGACCTAGGCCAAAGCGGCGATGACCCAGTTCTCCAGCCTGGTGAATACTCTTTTCCATTTCAGTTCTTAATCCCAAATATAATTATGCCGGCTTCAGTGGAGTTAAAACATGGTCATGTACGCTACTGGTTGAAAGGAATTATGGACCGTCCTTGGAGATTTGATATCATCACTATAGCGGCTGTTACCATTTTAAAATACGTGGACATCAATATTCCTCAGCTTTTGGTGAGTTTTCAATAATATAACTACCTAGAAATGCGTCTCTCTTGACCGAACCCCGTGAAACTCGGGGAAATGCTCCGACAGGAGGACACAAAGGTGAAACAGCCAACAAAAGTGAAAAGGTATCACTTGACTGAGACTCATACCCAAGATCGGCTGCAGCATCGGGACGGCTTTGTCACTTTACCACAAAATCCCGCAACTTTACCCGAAAACGCCGTTTGAAGCTTTAAGCTAGCCTATTCGAGACGTGTTCTGAACTACCCACCCATAAGTGGGTCCGAATACGATGGTTTTAACTAGTTATTACCTTTTACACAAGAGCTTGAGAATGCTAAAGAGAATTCTTAGAAGGCCTAAATATTTTCATTTGGCCTGAAAACTTGCTTTAGAGGAAATAATATTTTCAATTATTGCCATGATTACGTGTTCGTAATGAATATGCAGATATACTTCTTTCAGCAGGTGTAGCCGATAATTTCAGGTATCATCATTATATTTGGTTCAAAGTGTACATTTTGAAATCGCGGAGAGGAGGCAACAGAGTATGAACATCACGAGATTGCAAAACTGTGAAAATTACGACCTAATTAAGGGACCCTTATCATAGCAGATCGAGGTCTCAATCAGATTTTTCTCTTAAAATCAGTATTTAAAATAAGTATTCCTATGCACAACTCGATTCTTATAATTATTTTCTTAGCGACCTTGTCAGAAGGAAGAAGATCGTAACGTGGGATTCCTTTGCTGCGTTTCTGGCTCACTTAGCACTATTTTCTGTACTGACAGAGGAGGGTACTGTCCAGGAGAGTCTATTCGTGTCTCGACGGTCATAGATAATAAGTCCAAAAATGAAGTTGTTGGTCTGAAGATACAACTTCTTCGAATCATCGTCTTGATCGCCTCTTGTGGTGGGTAACTGAAAGATTTTATACTTGCGAATGAGGCTATGTTTACACTCTAGCTGATAGCCCTTACCCCAGCACGAAAACCCATACCCGATAGGGCTTCGGATCAGTGACATAAAAGCCATGATTTCGGTGCTACTTCTGTAACAAAGCGATCGAAGCTGCGCTGTACCGATCTTGAAAGTGGAGCATGACATATCGAATAGGTTCTCTGCACATTTTGGTGCAATGTGAACCGAAATTCGGACCGTAGCAGAAGTGAAAAAGCAAGGTCTGGAATCCTTTGAGGTGGAAGTAAATTGGCGAACCCCTCAGGCACGATGTTTGATGTTTGTGAATTTACGACCTATTCGATTTCCGTGCCTTACTGTTGGTATATCCGGGGATGGCGTTTCGTGTCGACTCGAAAAGCTATCTAGTATAGTAATCCATTGTTGTAGACATGGCCTAAGACAGTGATTAGTGGCACTGAGGTAATTCTGATCAATGAGAAACTACTAAAGTTGCATGATAGAGTTAATTATATAAAGATCGTATTTTAATGTACGAGGCTGGGTATGATATCAAGATATTCCTTTATCTGAGAAAGGGCTATCTGTAGGACCTAAACTCTGTGTTGGATCTGCATGCGATACATAATTGATCACATCATACCCGGCGGTCTATTCCTAATGGTATTACCCAGGAGGAATTTTTTGTTCAAGCTCAAATGTGTGTATAATTTTATGAAAAATATAAAATACCACTGAAGAGGTGACCTACATTGGGAAAGGTATTTAAACTTTGATTTCCTGCCATTTTGTTACTAATAATAACTTGTAAGACATTACCTTAGTAATAAGGCTCATATGGGGCATTATCTCTTTTACGTTATTTCTCATAACCATCATCTAATAATTATCAATATCATTTAATGAAATTTTTTTCCTTTTCATTTGCCAAGAGCCACCACGTGACCTGCAAATAACTGCCTACAAATAATATAATGGTCTGCTCATGCGCAATGTTGTCCAATTTTGTTTAGCTGGCAGTAATATTCTGCTCATGAGTAAATGAAACCACACTTTTCTCCTTCTTGCAATCGCTCTTGCTTGAAAATGGCACATCGCCTCGATCGCTTCCCAAAGATATTCAAAAAACAAACTCGGTGATCCAATGTTAATGATCTGCTTGCCACCGAAAATTCACGATATTTTGCTCAACCTCCTCCAATAATTGTTAATTATTTTGATATATTTTGTAGGAACGGCTACACACTGGGAAGATAAGGTTGCATCCATCTCTAAAGAAGGCGTAAAGCCTGGAGACACTTTAGTATCACAGCTGCAACTGCCAGTTCCCTCTCTACCTCAAACTATGCAAAGTTGCAGTTGCATGAAGATATCATATCTCCTAAGGGTAATATACTCAATATCTGTTCATGGTGATTTGTCAGAAAAGTCGTCTCTGTGCGATGTTCTTAGAGAACTGTCACTTGCTTCTAACTTGAGCCAGCATTTGAGGTGCTGTAAAATGCCTGGGTTTGAGTTACGCGAGTAGTATAGTAGGGATGAAGTTAGCCGTCTTTGAAATCAGACTTCATAAATAGGTATCGCATTAAGATTACGTAACTCTTGATGTCGTGCCCAGTATTACCGGTTTGTCAGGTCTTAGCCAAGTATTTTGGTTGCCTACTCACTGAGGACAAAACTGAAGATAAGTAGGGAAGGCAAACAAATGAGGACTACGGTGGGGGAAAGCTGATATGATGATGATGTTGACAAGAAATTGTATGCGCTGGAAAGGAAACGATAAAAGATGAGGCGAGGGTGGAGGGAAGCCAAAGAAAAAAAAAAGGAGGGAAGACTATGAAGCGAGGTGAAGGAAATGGATAGATGGCGGAATTGTACTGTGACTTATTACCTTGAATGATTGGCATAAAACGCTTTTAAACTAATACGACTAACTACAAGGCGTCTGTTCTAATCAATGTTTCATCTCATCTCGAGAGCTTAAGCACACAGTATATGCTGTTCGCTGTTTTGTTACGTACAAGTATTATTTTTCAAGTTGAAGAATCCACCGTTAATGTTATTGGAATTATAATGGTCATTTACACATCATAGCAAACGACTATTTTTTGACGAGCAGCAAAAAACCGCTCTGTCTCTAATTTTTCGTAAAATGGAGATAAACTATAAAAAGTCAGTTTGTTTTAGGCTTACTTGATTACAATTCTGTATCGGTGCCCTTTTGTAGCTTTGCTTTATCAAGATGCTCCATTTCTGATCTTTTCTCCCACCATTTCAGTTATTAATTCGTCATTTAGCTCTTCAAAGTAAAACCCAGTGACGTTGTTGCAAATAAACCATGAAGTTTTCAAATATGCTGGCTAGGACCATAAGCTCTCGATCGTTTATAGCTCTTGTTGGCTCCCTGACTGCATGCCTCCATTATACTCCATTATAAGGGCGTAGGGCTGGAATTATTTGTAAGCAACCTAGAAACTATTTTATGTGACTTAAACTCGAGAACGCGGAACGGTAATCCATCCTGTGGCTAAATCATTTTCCTTAAAATCTCTCAACAGCTGAAAGTTAGAGTAAAGGGTGCCTCCGACTCAAAATTATACATTCCTATCATTATTGGCACTCTTCCATCTCGGCCCTATTTTCCAGCCCAGTACCGGCCGTCAGATGCTGTTTTATCCACTAATACTCCACCACTGACAGGATTAAATGGAACCTCAGTGTATCTACCATCCACTACACAGAATGGTGACAAGGCTCCGAATTCTCCAAATGTTGGTAAGGAACCTTCTTGTGTTCATCGTGATATATTACCTGTGGTTGGTTCACTAATTAATTACGCATTAGATCATATATTTGAATGCTATTTTGCGCCTAATAAATAATAAATAATAATAATAATTATAAATCATTATTATGTTTTATTACAGGAGCCGATTACTTTTATTATTATAATTATTATTATTATAACTGTTAACAAGAAAGCATTGGGATCAGGCCCCAGTTGTTTAAAAAGAGGATAACTCTATCCTTGTATAACTCTTTATGCAGAGGACAATGCAATTGATTCCCCCTAATACTCATCAACTGGATTGTGATTTATCTGCAGTGGAAAGCGCTATCCAACTTTTGAACAACTGGGGTCAGTTATCAGTGGAACCAATCGCATTGTCCTCTGGATAGAGTTATCCACATTTTGAACAACTGGGCCCACTGGGGTGGTGTAGACTACACTAACTGATGTGGTTGCCTCGTATCCAGACGTCACTCTCTTGATGAAAATTTGCGCGCAAAGGAAGACGGGAGAGGAAAACGTGCTAGCACCTCCCTTTTTTACCCTTCCCACGGTCTCTTGCGTTTCTTCACCAGTCACTCGCGTTTCGCACTCGCCTGCCTCTATGCGAAACCAACTAATGTGGCATAAGATTATGACCTTCAATAGGTTTTCTTTGAATTGGGTACTTTGGTTTTCCCCTTGCTTCCGAATGCAGACCTACAGTTGTTTTAATTCCCGCTGTCACCGCAGAGAGAAGAGGACTTAGTTGGACTACAAAAGCCTGCATTCTCCGGCGAGTTTACCCATTTCATCATAAATACCAACATTTCCATAATGGCCAAATGATATTTCGATCTTAAAACTAAGTGCCCCTAGCAATATTTTTGTGGGTAAGCCGAGAAATTAAAGTTGCAATTAGGAGAGAAATTACTCCATTACGTGTTTTGGAGGCACCAGTGAAATCTTCATACTCGTTTACGAGTGTCATGATGTAGCATTATTTATCCGGGAGTGGCTCTGCTATAGGACAGTACAGTGAACAGTTTGACGAATAAGAACTTGATTCATGGTTGGTAATTAAATAATGAGTTCGAAATATAATGGTTCTCAAATTAAGATGGTTTATCGAGGCATTTTTAACAGAAACAGTAATAAGAACAAACAAACAAACAAACATGGTGTAACATTTCTTTTTCTCAATTTTAGCTCCTTCTTCGTACCGAGAGAGTATTGTTTAGAAGTCAAGAGCGTCCATAAATAACGAGGGCAATAAAAAGACCTTGGGTGATACGAATTTCAATACCAACTATGCAAGTACTCGGCTAGCTTCGAAGTAGTGGCAAAAACTGCTGAGAATTGTGCAAAGGAGCCTTCAGTAGAACTGTGCACAGAGACGTGTCAAGGGACCTTCAGAGGTCATCTATAGGACGTTAGGGAATCCCGCAAAAGAAACGTTTAGAGACCATGCATTAGACAAACGTGGAAAGGAACTTGGCGTCAGAGTTCATGCATTGAAGCCATCAGACAAACGTGTAAAGGAAACTTCAGAGAAACCTGCTAAAGAGCTGCACAGGAACGAGCAAAGGAACTGCACAGAAACGTGGAAGGGAACTGCGTGAAGTGTGAGAAAAGAAACCTTCCTATTTCCCCCTAACATCACACTTGGTTGCACTTGTTTTCGATTGATAAAAATCTGCCGCAAACCCTTCTTGGATCAGGTTCATGGGAAGGTGATAATGCACTGACTGTCAAAAACAAGTGATTTCTAGAGTTTATTCCATTTATTCTTAATAAGGTAATTTGAGATGTGTAAAATAGCCATATCAAGCCAGTGAAAATACCTCGGGAGGTGCCATGGCGCTTGTTAGTAGATAGGTCTTGCAATTGCTCAATGTGTTAGATGCTTCGCATCATTCAATCCTTTATCAACAGCTCTGGGGGTGGCGAGAGGGGCTTCACTTACTTCAACCAACTTTTAGGTGTAGCGGGGTTCGTACAGATTTTGGATCCAAAATTCAAGACTTTTTCCAGACTTTTTACCAAAACAATGATTTCTCTTTTCACACTCAAGGTTATCAAATAGTTGATCAACAGAGACATACAAAAACGCAAGAACCAAGCTATTTTCATGATGCACTGCAAACGCACAATGACCATGGTTCACCGCAGACATAAGAGGGTTCTGGTTCTGAAACTTCTCATTCTGTGATTGAATGTCTTGGTTACTGGCGAGACTGAATGAGGTTTGACCACGGGAAAAAATTCACTTATTAATTACTTGTAGCTTTGAAACAAAAACAACCAAACAACAATAACAACGACAACTCCAGACTTTTTAACATTTTTCCAAACGTCTTCTCTAGACTTTTTCCAGGTCTAGAAAATTGCTTTGCAAATTTTACGACTTCTTCAATTTTTAATAAATCAAGATTCTGTACTAACCCTGGGTGTGGATTTAACTCACTGAAATTAGCAAATCATTAAAACAGATCAGCTCATAGAACTCGTAGATTTTAATACCTTACGTGAATCATAACTTGGATCAATACTATTTAGAAACTGTGTACGACTAATTACATGCAACTCCTCCATACTACAATGTATTATACATACTGTTATGTAGAAAGTGTTGGTGAGAGGGAGGGGGGTTAAAATAAGTAGATTTACTACTCTCTAGTTGCATGATGGAATAGCTTATAAAAGATTCAGGATCATGACCTGTAGAAGAAGATTACATAAACAATGCTCTAGTAGCCATAAAGGCTGAAAAGTGTTAAGCAAAAAAAAAAGAGCACGATGATAGTTACACAAGACGCTTCAGTCTCCAAAAGTACATTTTTCTTTTAAAATGATTACAGTATTTTAGAAGGACCAAGGGGCAATTTTACATTTACTTATAGTGCATCTAGTTTTAAAATTAGGTTACTTTATTTTGCATTAAAGCGGTAGATAATTCAAAAATTACATTAATGCACGTAATTAACTATTGTATATTGTTAATCTCTTTGAAAAATGCACTACATACAATGTACAAACAGTAAAAGTGGTTAATATGATACATTTCTACAGCAAAAACAGTAATAGGTTATACATATTGCCTCCCTCTCTTAACTGTTACAGGTCAATGCTAATTACACTTAGTACAATTTTCAAAACTATTTTTACCCACGCATTAAAAGTATACTGTCTCATAAATAATTCAAGAGCCAAATGTTTCTTGTGATGCATACACCATGTAGATAAATCCATCCTCATCTTTTTCATCTTTGTAAACCTCTCCTACAGTGATCGATATGCTGACCAGATTTTTTTCGTTGATAAGAAGGAAGAATGCTTGTGTTGGACTCAGCTGCAGTCTTTTCCTACATGGAAAAATGTCAGTAGAAGGGAAGAAAGGTCAAGTCATATGTCTCTCACTTATATTAGCAACAACGATTAGAACCAAGAATCACAAAAAAGGGCTCCAAAAACTTGAGTTTTTTGGCAAATTCTTTTTTCATGAACCATGAATAACATCTGAGTACTCTCAGTGTTGCATTTTAAAAGGTAGCAGCATGTTTTCAACTACAATACTGATGACAGAATGAAAGGTGGTAAATTTTAAGCTCGGTGAAACAAATGTGAAAATGAATTAATCAGCATGTCACGAGTGTGGGACAAAAAAAGGATCCGAGTCCCTGACAAGATTCGAACCTATGACCTCCCAAACACTGGGCGGGCGCTCTATCCACTTGAGCTATGGAGAACTCATGGAGAGCGAGGCCATATACATGTACTAGGTTCATATTTGACATGCGTCATGCATACTGCAAGGATTACGTTGATGTTGTACTGTGTGGTGAAAGAATGAAAGATGGTAAATTTTAAGCTCGGTGAATCAAATGTGAAAATGAAATCAGCATGTCATGAGCGTCGGACAAAGAAAAAATCTGAGTCCCCCACAGGATTCGAGCCTATGACCTCCCAAACACTGGGCGGGCACTCTATCCACTTGAGCTACAATACTGATATCTTAAAAGTTGAAGATCGGGTTTCTTGCCACAGGAGATGACTATCGTGCTGCTCTTAAGGGAAAGACACAGACATCCTGTCCCCCTATTATCTGACCAAATGGCAACGTTGCTTTATCAACACAATAGACAACGTTAGCATTGACACAGTTGGGACTTTGACAACGAGTTTTATACCAATTGAGCACATTGTGCATCAGTTGTGCACAGCAGCACATGCTCAGCTCATTCTGCCAAGTTATACTTTGATGAATTTCCTTCAAAAAGTTGAAGTGGTGGGAGCGATTTTGTAAAGGTTAATATTCCTTTTTTGAAGTTATATGGTCAGTTTGAAACAAATAGCTGCTTACATTCAAACCACATTTCCTTTCCCTGATTTTGAGCAAGTCATAGATAAAATTTGCTTCTCTAGAACTGTTTTGTGGAAATTTATATCTTTTAACATGCCGTCCAATAACTACACACATTCTATTGTATCGTGTGCTGTTGAGTTGTCTCCTAGAAAGCTGTTATTTGTCTTGTCTTTATAGATTGTAGTTTTTGCTTCGAATATTTGACCACCTATCCAGGCTGGGAATAGAATTTGATGTCCACTTAACACAGTATTTGTTTTCTTTACTTGCAATTCGAATGCTGTTTTTTAGAGACTCATGCATCTACAACTGTGACAAGACCTGATGAATGTTGCTGATAGTATAACAATTAGCTGTTTCCTGCTAAAAAACATATTTCGGCAATGGAAAACTTACTGGTGATTTAGCTTTTCTACCAACAAGCATTGTACCCATCAAGGTCATCTATTTCAGTGCAAAGAGTGCTTTCCAGTTTTCGCCACGGAAAACTTTTATCTTTGATTCAACTTTTATGAGAACAAAACAAAACCCTTCCCATCTGACGCAACTGGATCACGGGGGCTCACTCTGTTCAAAAACTGACATGTCAATAAGCAGATATATGACTTGCCATTTCTGTAGGCTGATAAAAAAACTGTAAAGGAATGTGGTTTGAATGTGAGCTGCTGTTTGTCACGGAAGAGCATTGCATGACTAGACAAAAAAAGCTGCGAGGGAGACTAGGAAACACACTCATAGCAGATCTAGTGCCTTAAAACAATTTTAGTAATGTGGGTAAATTTTGTGATTGCAGTAATGTCTTATAACCATCAAAATGGGCAAACCGGTCCCTTCATGGTCTGGGTAAATGGTAAAAAAAATTCAGCCCTGGTAAATTTTGTCCTTGAATCACTGAAAAATGGCCACGAAAGCCTGAAATTGGTATCAAAGATGGCTTTGAAGAAACTGAACACAAATTTGGGACCATTCCACCCAGAAAACCAGGAGTACCTTTTCAGATGTTCTGTTGCTCCTGGAAATGTTCTGCTGGCACTACGATTCAAAAAGTCATGTTCTATCTATTTTTTTTCCAAACGGATTTTCTAGAAACTTTTTGTAAATCATTTGGTGAACAACCAGGGTATTTGGTTGGTGGTGGTAGAGAAGGGATCATGGTATTTTGTACATTGTTGTGGATGTGGAGTGAGGGAAACCAGGAGAAAAATACCACAATAATAAGGGTTAGGAGGGGGTTCCAAAATCTGAAGGAAAACATCTAAACATACCATAGTCCCCTTCTACAGAAATTATGACCACTCCCTGCGCATGCTCTGATTGGTCAATTACCTATTTACTATATTTGCCAATGGGAGAATGATTACAAAACCTAGCAAACACTCAAAGCCATACGTGTCACTTTCTAATATTCTACAGTAGGAGACCTCAGAGTTGACAAGATTTTTGTCTTAATACTGAGAGAAAGTTTACCATTAAACATAACGAAAAATGTTTTCAATCCACTTTGAAGGACTACTTATTCAGCAAAACGATTGTTTTGAAAGACAAAAATTTGCAAAGAGTGATTTGCACATGCAAAGGGTGAGCAGATGACAGCACCCATGTCATTTCCCAGCTATCTGTGAGCAAAAAGTTGTCTTCTTTTGATTATGACATAAAACAAATGGTAAATTACTCAGTGTGTACTACTGAGTTATACTTGCACTTGGGAAGATTGCTAAGCACTCAAGAAGCTAAAGTCGCATTCTTCGACTCTAGGATTCTTTTGTGCTTAGCAACCTCCCGCCTGCAGCTTGTTGAGCCGTTTACCAGTGTTATTTTACTTGCTACCCTATGATAGATATTTTAGGTTCTTTTTGTCTTGGGAAACCCGTACCATATTTGCCAGAAGCACCCCTCTGTTTAAATCCCTCTGCCGAAAACCACCCTACCTTATTATGCTTGACAAGCTACTCATGGTGAGATCCGATGGAACTAAATACTTGATTTTGTCAAGAACAGGTAGACTTTTTTCCGTTTTGAGTCTTTCCACGATGACCTTTGAAATCAAGAAAAAGTATGTTACTAAAATGTACAACATAAAATTCTTGTCATAAGTGAAACGCTAACAAATATAGATAAATCCACTCTCTACCGAATGCCCGCTTACTGAGGCAAGAATGTTTAGTACGGTATGATTCTGCGATCTGCCACGTATAATTTCGCGAGACTGTTTGAGCAAACATGCACAAACCATCTTTAAAATTATATAAGCTTAAACGATGGCCAAGAATGCAACAGGAAAATAAATATAGTTGCAGCTACAATAACCAGCTTGTGCCTCAAAATGCAAGGTTTTTTGTTACCTGGAACAATAACAGACATTAGTGTTAAGCTTATGGAAGTTTAACTTCATAAGCGCACATGTATTTACATATATTTTTCCTTACCGGAACTTTGTCGGGGTATTGGCGGACGATAGACTCGGAATCTCTTTTCCTTGCGGCTACATTTAACACAAAACAGCAAAACATTAGTAAAAGAAAGCGAAAACTGCCAATGAGACAAAAACAAGGCATAAAAGTATTTGTTTTCAAGCGATGACGGGTGACGAATTATTCCGCCAATGCACATCGCGTCGCCTTCACCAAACCATTTTGCGCCAAAAAAGTCCCCAAATATAATTTTGTTCTGCTTACAGAAACTTTTTCTTTGCTTGAACGGCTTGTTCGTTTGTCCACTCATCCTTGACAGTGTTAAGTATCAAATTCGGTACTTTTTCAAGCAAAAAAACCCCAACTGAAAATAGCGACAATTGCTGGTTTGTTTTGTTTTGGTTTTTCCAATCGATTCTGATTGCGTCATGAAAAAAAGATGGCGGCTATAGCAATCTTGCTTCACACCAGGGGAGGGAGGGAATCCAGTATTGAAGATATTATTGCAGTTCGTGAACAACTTTGCATTAAAATTTTTTTCTTTTTCATCGGAATGAAATTTATTCACTTATTTTTTTTATCAAAACAAAGACCACATGAAGGGGAATTAAAATAGTAAAACTGGAGAATGCGATGCAAGCGTGTTTTCCCCTCCCCGAAGAGTATTTAACGGTAAGGTCTAGAAGGACTGGGTCAAGTTAGAACTTAGATCTCTCTTTGGAGGCGGCTGGCGTCGCGCCTGTAAACTGAATCGAAGAAGACAAAAACTGACAAAATCGACCATCATGAGCGAGAGTAATATTCACTTATTCACTTGGATCTTATGGCATAATCCCTGAGAGCTGTCGTGGAATTTCTCACCAACCGAAGCGTAAATGGCTGAAAAGTAAGTTTTGATGATCTAAAGCTCTCATTGTTGTTTGTGTAACCAGATTTAGAGAGTTGTTTGAGCTTCGCGAATTCTAGTGCTTGTTCCCATGATGGGTTTCAGCTTCAGCATCTTGTGCTAAATAATATGCCTGCCCTTAAATTGATATTGTTAGTGACTGGTTTTTTCGCAGTTGGCAATATGATCATTTGTATTCTTTCAATTACCCAAAAGCATGTAGATGTGAATTATCGGGTACGAATTAACAAGGCATTTGTCGATTTAGAATGTGAACAATCGACAACGACCAGATTATAGCGTAGCAATGTGCCATTTCAGCATTGTATTCTAGCGTATACTATTTAGGCTTTGTGATGGGGTTACCACTCAGCTGTTAAGAACCTCTTGTAGAATTTTCCATCAATGTGTAGGTTGGTTTTCCGGTCTGGTTACTACTCATGCAGAAAATGGTTGCATTTAATAACGAACTTTCAATCGAAACAAAATGTAATTAAATTCGACAAGATCCTCGTACACCTGGAGCGCTATTTCTACCACTGTTGCCAGCAGTAATCATTCTCATCTTATTTGATACTTTCTAAACATATGATGGTGTAGATAAAACGGTTTTTTTCTCCATGGATCAAAGTAACTCTGACCTTTCTCGCCCCCTCATGAAACGCACCACTCGTCGGTAAAATAAGCTTAAGCTTACTTTGTTTGCGAAAGTAAGAAGTAGTTAGATCCGTTCATTTCAGAAACGTAACTTGCTTATCCCCTGAGAAAATTAGCAAGGATTTGTACAAATTAGTGGGTCGGAAGTACCTGTAGTTGTATTTGTTCCCAGGCAATTAATTATAACTTGCATTTGCTTAACGCATGATGGGTCACGAACTTGTTTAAAAAGTACCGATGGGGTCTAATCCTTATCTGTCGTTATAAAGGTTTCACATACAAGTAGTTTACCTTACAATCTTATGTTTATTATGGTCTCTCTTGTTAGAATATCATTTTGTGGGAAGTTCAGGTGTTAATTTCAGTGAATAACACGTAAATCATAAACTCGATTTTTTGAATAATGCAACAGGAAACCTGGGATATTTCTAGAATTAACATACAGGTATCAGTTATTGTACCACGCTGTGAAGTGAAACTGCTTTAGAACAACAGAAATGTGGATTTTGTTTTATACCTCTTGGTCTTAACTTGTTCAGACTTGGTGTAATTGCGTGTTTCCCTTCGCTCTTGTATTATTTTTATATTCAATATTGTTCTTATTATTTTGTTTTGCTTATTAATTGACTTGTATGCTTCTATTTTTATTTAGTTCCTTAGCAATGTACTTTAGCTTCAGGTATTGACATGGTATTATATTTTCTTTATCTCATGTTGCAAAGAATGTGAAAAAACTGCATGGCTCATTCGTCCTACCTTTGGTCCCATTTAAGATTTTCATTGTTTTCATGCATGGTTTTGTACAGTTCTGTGTTAATGAGTACAAAACAGGGAAAATGGGAATACGTTGAACCAGGGTAAATATTGAACTGCATGCATGGTGCAACATTTTTTGTCCTGGGACATTAAAATGGTGGATCCGTGAAGGGGCTATCACCTAGGTAACAAATAGAAAACTTATCACTCAAGTTTTTGGTATCTTGAGGGTCCTTGTATGAGAAATTTTTTTAAAAGATTAACGAGCTCTGGAGTGATGGCTAATTGCTATTGTAGCAAAACTCAGTGGCATTTCAGATAGCAAACAAAGTCATGTCTGATAGCCCTGGGCTAGTGGATTTTCCGATCAGGCTTGTGAAATCTGGGCTTGTGAAATCTGGTTTTCCTTTGGAGGTTGGAAGGGGGGAGAGGTGAGGAATTCAATATTACAAAAGTCCTCTAAGACATTGTGAAAAAACTATTTAAATTCCTAATAAAAATTTTTTGGGCTAGTTAAAATAACGCTCAGGATGGTTCATGCTACTGACCTTCTTTGCACCCGGCATTTGCTTCTCGCAGTTCTGGCTTTTATATTAGTTATCATGGAAGGGACACCATAGTGGTGTCTCCAGGGATGTATCTTAGGAAAAGCTAACAAGCTTTTTTAATAGTCAAGCCAGTTTTTTCACTCAGCTGGATCTCTAAAGTGACCCCAAGCTCTTGTTTTCTAGAGCAATTTGAGCCTGTGATAGGGTGTTTTTCCGCTAGTGAATTAAGCTTGCAGCTGGCTCTTAGTGACATCTCTGTGTCTCTACACTAAGCTGCATGTATATTTTAGGTAAACAATTTCTCTGAGTATCTTGGAGATAAAAACTGCAGCGACCTAACGTTTTGCAAGATTGTTCTATGATTTTTATCAGACAGTCTTCTATGGTAGATTTTTGTCTTACCAGTAATTTACAAGTAAAGTAAAGTAAATTTTCTTGCTGGGTAAGTAATTTTTAATTTGTTCTTGCCCAATGGGCAAGAGTCCAGGCAAATCATCTTCTAACAAAATCAGAAGTGGCCCTAGCCAAGCAAAAATTAATGAGCTAGAGAGCTGTTTGCTAAAGAGGAAATCAAATTTTTTTCAAGCCTTATTTGGATCGACTAATAGCTAGTCTGAAGGAAAGTTTGTTAACTGAATATACCTTTGG